TATATATATTTTTTTTTAATCATGATTCATAGATGTTAGCGTTCTTGGATAAGTTTAGCAAGAAGCTCAGAGATAGCTAAGCAAATGAAAAAGCAATGTGCTCGTTATTCCAGAATGTAATGAGAAATTGAAAAAGAAAGGAGATTCAATTATCATGAACCTCTTGGTTTGGCAGTGCACAATCTTTGCTCATAATGTAAATACTATTGATTTAACAGCAAAAATCTGTGCTATGGCCCTGCTGATATGGCTCTGTGGTTGAGTGTCAACCTATGAACAAGGAGGTCAAGGCACATGCCTGGATGGCAACCTCAATCCCCAGTGGGTGGGCATGCAGGAAGCAGCTGATCAATGATTCTTTCTCATCACTGATGTTCTATCTCTCCCACTTCCTTCCTCTGTCACCAATAAAAATATATTTTAAAAAGAAATCTAGCAGCAAACTGGTAACTACTTATGGATATGGGGGGCTTAAGGGTGGAGCTGGACTAAAGAAACTTCCATTTTTTAACCTATCTTCTGTGTTGTTTAAATTTTTATTTGAATCATAGATTCAAATACTACTTTTTTAAGCTATAAATATTTTGATGCAATTTTTTTCCAAAAAAAAAATCTTTTATTTGTCTTACACCAGAGGCCGAGTGGGGGGCAGTGTGAAGCAGGCAGACCCGGTCCCCACCCTCGTGGAGGTGGCAGTCTGACAGGAGAAAGGGAACCCAGCGCTGACTCAGTGCGGACAGCCCTGTGCTGGAGAGATGGGGCATGCAGGAGCCCAGAGCAAGGGCACTTCCCTCACCTGGAGAATGGCCAGGAAAATGAGTGGAACTCAGGAGGCAAAACGGGATGGGGGGGGGGGGGGGGGGGGCGGGGGAGGGAGCCGCTGGGAGTAAGTACAGCAGGCAGAGGGAACAGCATCTACCAAGTCCTGGAGACCCTGACTCCCTCAGGAAATTCAAAGTAGCTAGAGCTCTGGGCGACGGGGGAGGGGAAACAGGAATAGAGAGGGGGCAGGGTGCCATCACAAAGACCTGTGAAGTCTTATTAAGCAGGTTGGACTTGACCCTGAGGGCCAATAGGTAGTCACAGAGGACTTTGAGCAAAAAGGGCTGATCGGCCTTGACCTTTAGCATGATCCGTATTCAGCATTTTCTCCACCAGATTACATCAGCTGTGAAGCAAGGTATTCTTATTCAGTGTCGGGGCTGCACGAGTTTCTTTTATTTTTGAGATCCCTGGGCAGTGTTTTCCTAGCATCAGCAAAAGGAAGACCACGCATCTGTCTGTCCCAGCTGGTAACTCCTGGCTTTTACTGTCACCTTTAATAGACACTTTTCCCCAGGGCCGACAATGCCATCAGCCCTAAGCCACTTTAAAAATATAATAATAATAATAATAACAAAAAACAAATTTTTTTAAAAAAGAAAGAAAAGCAAAATAAGCAACATGAGAGTCAAACCCCGGAAAAAATCCAGCCCTTGCCAGAAACTTCATAACAAAAGAGGAATTCCCTCGTGAGGTCCTGCTGGGGCAGGTCTGTACCCCACTCCAGGTCCTGCAGAGCCCCTGGGGCTACATTCATGAACATACCATCCTCAGAGCCTCAGCTCATCCGTGGTAGCACAGATACAGATTTGCTGGCACCTGCTAGCGTATTCGTTCTCCTCCTCCCATCCCTCAGTGTCACCCAGCTTAGGGTTTCCCTTTGGCTTATGCCCAAGTGGTGGCTTTTAGGCCACTGTCTCTCTCTCAGGCTCTGAGCTTGAGGGCTCAAGGCGACAATGAGCTATCTTGGGAATTTTCTCTCCCGAGTGTGCTGTGTCTGGCATTATTCTCTGTTAGGGCACACATTCTGACACACAGATCTTTGCGCCTTTACAAAGTGCTTGGTGAGATCACTGATTTATGTCACTTGCCATTTAGGAATGATAAATAGGAGGAAAACCAATATAGCTTCTTGCTTTTAGCATGCACCATATAGTAGCAGTGGCAAGAAGAAAAATCCAGAAATTATCCCCAAGATTTTCATCTAGCGTTTACCTGGGGGAGTGTTTCGCTATTTTGAAGCAGGGAGAGCTCTAGGTTTCTTTTAGCAGGTAAGGCAAATAAAAAATGTCTTGAAATACAGTTTCATAGTTGTGTGCTGTGAAATGATGTATTTCTTTAAAATGCACTGAGACTCTCTAGTGAATTATCTTTACTAGTGTCATTTAAAAGACAGAGTTGATCTTCGCCTCGTGACCCTGGAGTGACCTCCCTGAGCTGAGGATAGATGCTCGCACAGGTTCCCTGCGGCACCCTGGTCAGTCTCTATCTTCCCTAATGAGGTAAGACCTGCTTATTATCAGCCTGTCAAGAAAATACTGTGAATTGCAGGGCACAGATAGTTTTTTAAAATCACATCTTTCTCTGTTTTTGCTATAATAGACTCTATTAGGGAATAGGAAGCAAAAAAAGGACATATTGTCAATCTCCGGTAAAAGCTCTCCAGAGTCTCCAAAAGGTCTTTCTTAATCCTCTGAGTGTGTCTCAGGCTAAGACACCTGGGATCGTAAGTAGGCCAAAATGAACCTTTTACTCAAAAGCAAACACTCATTAACCAACTTCAAGGTCTGATGTGAGACACGTCTCCACCTCCACTTATAGTGTTCCTTTGTGTGTTTGAAAGAGCCCTGATTTCTTAGAGCTTCTGTTACCATAGGCGAGCCACATTCGGAATAGGAAGGGCTGCAAGGCTCCGAGAGCACTACTGCAGGCTGACAATGGAATTTGCCAAAAGCTATAGGAACCAGACCCACTGTGACTGAACTCAACACTACGTGCCCAGCATGATAGTGAGGACTTTACTAGCATTATTGTGACCTTCACAATGACTCTATGGAGTAGTGACTGTTATCACCAAGGCTTAGAAATGTTAGTGTGCACAGTCCCGCAGTTAAGAATTGCAAAGATGAGATGTTGTGCTATCGAAATGTATCTATCATCTGGCCATAATTAGAGGGCACATGATCCCCTAGCCAGAAACAGCATTTCCTCCCTGACCTTGCAGCTAGAACTGGCAAGCAGGCTAAGTAGGAATCAATGGGATTGGAGCTGAAGTAATGAGTGCACCTTCTGAGTCCTCTCCAACTTCAGAGGCAAGACCCTGGTCCTACTCACACTTTCTTTCCCCTTCCTGTGAATTGGAACTGAACTTGGAGATCATTCAGCGTGTGTCTACATTGTTCTGTCAAATACAGTAATGACTAGACATCTGTGGCTATTTAAATTTAAATTAAGTATAATTTAAAGTCACTGCTCCCCTGCCAACCCGATTGCCCCTAACTACTCTCCCGACACCTGGTCACCCCTAAATGCCATCCCCTGCAGGCCTGGTCACCCCCAACTGTCCTCCCCTACAGGCCTGGTCCCCCATCCCCAACTGCCCTCTCCTGCTGACCCAGTCACCCTTAACTACCCTCCCTTGCCAGCCTCATTGCCCGTTTTCCCCTGCTGGTCTGGACCTCCCACCCCCAACTACCTTCTCCTGCAGGCCTGGGTCCCCCCCCAAATACCCTTCCCTGCAGGCTTGATCACCCCCAACTGCCCTCCCTTGCTGGCCATCTTGTGGCAACCATCTTTGACTACATGGGGGCAGCCATCTTGTGTTTGAAATAATGGTCAATTTTCATATTGCTCTTTTATTAGATAGGGTAGAGGCCTGGTGCATGCATGAGGGCCGGCTGGTTTGCCATGAAGGGTGTCCTGGATCAGGGTGGGGGTTCCCTTGGGGTATGGGGCAGCCTGAGCAAGGGGCCTGTGGTGGTTTGCAGGCCAGCCACATACCACGGCAACTCAAGCATGGGCTGGAAGCAGGGATCTGGGATTTATTTATCTTCTATAATTGAAACTTTGCTTCCTCCATCACTGGGGACAACCCAAGCCTTCTGCTTGCTCCAGTTCTATGGCCACTGCCATCTTTGTTGGGTTAATTTGCATACTCGCTCCTGATTGGCTGGTGGGCATGGCTTGTGAGTATAACAGAGGTGTTATATTTTTTTATTAGATAGGATTAGCCTTTACCTAATACAGAAAACCAAGAATGTCATATCCAGGCAATTCAACATAATAACCAGTGAGTGGTGGTGCTTTCTCATTCCCCCCATGGTTTCCACTGCCTAGAGACTGGACTTTCGTGTTTTGAGTTATTGTACACTTAAAATGGCTTAAATGGTAAATTTTGTTATGGCTATTTTACAATTAAAAAATAAAAATAAAGGAACTGCTACTGATATATGGTATCACATAGATAAACCTTGAAAATATTTTCTACATAAAAGAAGCCAGGCACAAAATACCACATATTATGATTCCACTGAGATGAAATGTTCTAGAATGGTGGTGACAGTTGTACATATCTGTAAATACACTAAAAAGGTATTGAAATACATACTTTAAAATGGTATGTGAATTATATCTTAACAAAGCTGTTAAAAATATGAATTCATTTTAAATCTAGCATCACATTTATTTGAACTTATGAAGACCTTAAGTGGTATGCAACAAATTCTAGAACCAGATTCTGGTGACATGCTGGAAAAGTAAGAACAAATAAATTAAAAAGACTGAGATTTAGATCGGCTGGCAGGGACGACCAAGAAGGTCTATGACTGGGCATGGCAGCTCTCCAGTCAAGGTGAAAGAACAAAGGCAAGAACATGGAACACACTTGCTTAAGGCTGATCAGAGACCTTTATTCTGGTCCCTGCATTCATTAAGCAACCAATACAAATCATTTTCTTTGTGTCTGCCTCCAGCAGCAGCTGCTGCATCCAGACAGAAATGGAAGACACAGCCATGGAAGACCTTGTAGAGAAAAACTAGCAAGTTATTCTGGCTTAGGTAAAGTCAGAGCAGGAAAATGTACAGTGCGACTTTCCAAGGACTCTGTTCTTCAAAGCTGAGGCCTGCAGAGGGCTAATGAAGGATGCAGGTGAAGGCTCACCAAAGCTCCAGCTCAGTAATCAATCCAAAGTACCTGAAAAGACAAAGAACAATGTGTCAAGCAAGATGCCTCAAGAGCTGGGTGAGCATAACAAACTGGGCTCATAATCATATACACTGGAATTTTATAAATATGGGGAAGGTTAAAGTGGAAGCTGCTCTGGTGCTGGCAGTTCTCTAAAACCAAAATACTTGTTTAGAAGAATGGCCATCCAAAAGATCCTCGGGGAAAACAAAGGGTGGGCAGTGGGGAGTTAAGCACACTTGTCTGAAGAGTTAGAATAGAGTTGGCAAAGGCCTAAGAAGTTATTGTGTTAGTTAGTGAGCACTTATGGAGACCATACAAGGGAAGATACAAAATACATGAGATAAAGCAGAGTTTACAATTTTTTGAGAGAGTTCCAGTTCAAGATGGGATATTGAGTTCCCAATTTCTGTTCTAGCCTCTCATACCTAAGATTCCATCAAACGGGGAAAAAAGCTTTAAAAAGACATAAATCACCTGGCGAGCATGGCTCAGTGGTTGAGCATTGACCTGTGAACCAGGAAGTCATGGTTTGATTCCTGGTCAGGACACATGCCTGGGTTTTGGGCTCAATCCGTAGTAGGGAGTGTGCATGAGGCAGCCAGTCAATGATTCTCTCTATCATTGATGTTTCTCTCTCTCTCTCCCTCTCCCTTCCTCTCTGAAATCAATCAAAATATAATTATTAAAAAAGACATAAATCCACAACAAAGAATTGAGGGGGTGGGATCTATCAACAGTTAAGAGATTTCAACAAAAAGTTAGTTAATCTGACTTAAATATATTTAACAATAATGTGGAGGGAAAATGTGCCTAGAATAAACACAGAAGGAGCTGCAGCAGAGGCAGGAGCCCATCTGCCTCGCAGACCCATGGGGAGGCTGCAGACTCAGACCCCAGGAACGGTGGAGGCAGAAACAGCCGATTCCGTCTCCCCACAACCCTCCCTGAATGCACACTACCAGAAAACAAGGCTGTAAGCCTAACTTGGCAGGAGGGGGGGGGTTAGGAAGGGGGATAATGGGGGAATAAGTACACATATGTAACACCTTAATCAATAAAGAAATTTAAAAAAATGTTTTAATTTAGACTTTAAAGAAGTTTCAAGAAAAGGCAAGAACACTAAGTAAATCCAGCCTTTAAAGCTGCTTTCACCCTGAAGGCATTTGCCAATCCAAATCACAGAGCTAAGAAACTGCTATGATTTTGGCAGGCTCAGTGAACCAAGATTCAAATCCCAGACACAGTGGGAAGGTCTGATAACCTGAACCACCCCACCCCCCTGCGCGCGCGCGCGCACACACACACACACACACACACACACACACACACACACACATTGTTTAACACTGGAGTCCCAAATGGTTAAACTCTCAAGTAAGGCAAAACCCAAATTAAATCAGCCCCCTCACAGGCCTGCAGTCTCAGTTCATATCACCACAGTGATCCAAGCATCCTCAAATCCTGAATTTGGATTAAGGAGATTCTGCACTGATAAATGCCCCTAGGTGCTTTGCAGAAGCACATGAAAATCTTTGGAGAAAGATTTCATTATATAGGCTTCAAATTATCCAACAAATAATACTTCAAATCCAATGAACCATGTACTGATATAACCAGACAGATAGAGAAAAAAGACCATGAGACTAACAGAAACAGTAGACAAAAAAAAAAAAAAAGAAAGAAAAGTACTTCAAAAGGCTTGGGTAATAGATGGGACACAGACTATAAAACAATTGTGCTTATGTTTAAAGAAATAAAATGCAAGCTTCAAAATACCTGCAGAAAATACAAACAACAAACAGTGACAAAATACATTTAAAAAATAACCAAATATAATTTACAGAACTGAAACATAAAAACTAAAACTTAAAAAAAAAAAAAAAAGTTTAAAGGAGATAAGGTCACTGAAGAGAGAGCAAACTGCAAGGTCAGAAACATTACACAGAATACATCATGCAGAGGCAAAATTATGGCTGCATTTTAATATCTGTTTAATATTAAATTAAATTAAATATTAAATTTCTTGGAATCCCAAAGAAAAAGGAGATAGAGAAAACAAACCAGAGACAATATTTCAACAGTTATTGGCTAAGAATTCTCTAGGACAGATCCACAGGTTTAACTATTCCAGCATACCACATTAGAAATCTATGCCTAGATACATTAAAGTGAAACTACAGAAATATCAAAAATACAGAGAACATCTCAAAAGCATACGGAAAAAAGAGTAACAAGTAATTCTTCAATGGAAACCAAAAAAAGTAGAATGATAGCTCTCTTTAAAGTCAATAAAAGCATATTTTTTTAAAGATGCTTGCTATCACTACTACTCAACACTAATTCAGATACTAGCCAGTGCTATATGGCAAGAAAAAATTTTAAAGGTAAGAATTTTTAAAAACTTCTCAAAATTATCATTATTGGAAGATATTACTGTGTGATTAAGAAAAGCCAAAAGAATGAATAGATAAATCATTAGAATTAATAAGAGTTGAGTAAAAGACTAAGTGCAAAATTAACATATGAAATAAATTATATTTCTATATACTAGCAATGGTTTTTAAATGACATTTTTAGGAAGATACCACTAACAACAGCATTAAAAATGTTAAGTATTTAGGGGAAAACATCTAACAGTATATGTCAAGATTTCTTCAGGTAAAATAAAAAACTTAATTTAAAAATATTAAAGATCTAAATAAATGAAAAAATATACCAGCTTCATGGACTGGAAGATTCATTATTGTAAAGACATCATTTCTCCCACAAAGTAATCTATAAACTCGTCATCCATATCAATATCCCTTTTTGTGAAATTTGACATGCAGGTTCTAAAATGTACATGAAAATGCAAAGAATCAAAAATGGCCAAAACACTCAAAGAACAAGGTGGGAAGATTTGCTCTCTTGGATAAAGCTTTTATAATTGAGACAGAGTGGTACTGACATGGAAATAGACATACAGATCAATAAGAAAGAATAAAAAGCCCAGAAAAGGCCTTGATTTATAACAGAGATTAAACTATAGAGAAAATGATATGGACAAGCAGACAGCCAAACAAGAAGAGAAAAAAACTGGATGCCTACCTCAAGATAATAGATAAAAAGTCAATTCTAGTTTTATGAAAGACTGGAGGCCTGGTGCACAAGATTCGTGCACTGAGTGGGGGCTTCCCTCACAGCCTGGGACCCCTCTCGCAGTCCAGGACCCCTTAGGGGATGTCCGCCAGTCGGCAGTCAGGCATCACTCTCAGTGGGACCCCTCGCCTGCAAAGGCGGGAGAGGCTCCTGCCACTGCCACTGTGCTCATCGGCTGTGAGCTGGGCTTCTGGCTGAACAGTGCTCTCCCTGTGGGAGTGCACTGACCACCAGGGGCGGCCCCTGCATTGAGCACCTGTCTTTTAATAAAAAAGACAAAATATTCCAAAGAAAAATAGAACAACCCCCCACAAAAAATGAATATGCGTATGGAAAAATGCTCAACGTCACTAGTAATGAGGGCAAATTAAAACCACAAGGCAATTTCATTATATTTCTACCAGACTGACAAAAATTAAAAACTCTGATAATACCCAGTGCTGGTAAGAATAAAGAGCAATGAGAATTATCATATACTACTGGTACAAATGTGAATGAGGTAATACAGGAAGTTCAGCAATACCTACAAAAAGGAGATACACATATCCTATGTCAGAGGAATTTTATACATACACATACACATATACACATACATACCCAGAGAAACACATATAAAAATATTCATAGCAATTCATAATAGCACACACCAAAAAATAGTTACCCAAATATTGACATTAAAATGGTTCCATTGTGGTATTGTCACATAATGCCATGCCATACAACAAAGAAAATTAAATAACTAGATATCTGTATAACCACAAAGATGTATCTTATAAATGAATTAACCTAAAGAAAACAGCAATGAAATGAATGCTGACGAATGAATACATAAAGTTTAATTCTACTTGTACAAAGTTCAAAAAAATACAAAATTCAATCCTCATATTTACAGATGCATGTTATGTGATAAAATTATAAAGAAAACCAAGGAAATAATTACCAAAAAGTCAGGAAACAGGTCAGGACAGGGCATAGGAAAGAATATGATGAAGAAGAAATATAAATGGAGCTTCTGGAGGCTGACAATAGTCTATCTCTTTGCCTACTTGGTGGTAACAATGTTGTTTTATTATTTACTGTCTTTACAGTTCATGTTGTATTTCCTAAGGAAAAACTTACAAGAATATACATTTATTTACATAAAATATCCAGAAGATTACAGAGCCTGATAACAGTGACCTGCAGGGAAGGGACCTTTATGAAGTATTAAGGAACAGAAAGAGTACACAGTACGGTTTTAAAATTCTACACTCAACCAACAGATAAAGCCTGGAAGACTTAATTCTGACAATATAAATGTCATCAGCCTCACAATGTCAAAGAATAAGTGTAGATGACACAAAGCCAGAGCTAGAAGTGGGCTAAAAGCAGGAAAGGAAGACTTGTGCAGTGACAGTCATACTTTACTAAGTGTGGAGACAAGAAATATATTGAAAGTTTGGTACAACAAAAAATAGACACTTTGGTGTGTTATATAAACTGTAAAGGTAACAAAAAACTAAAAATAATGATACAACTACCAAAAAAAAAAGAAAGGAAAAAAAAAGGAAGGCCCTAGTTGGTTTGGCTCAGCGGATAGAGTGTCAGCCTGCGGACTTAAAGGTCCAGAGTTCAACCGCCAGTGGAGGGTGAGCAGGAGATAGCTGATCAATGATTCTCTCTCATCATTGCTGTTTCTATCTCTCTTGCTCTCTCCCTCTCCCTTCCTCACTGAAATCAATAAAAATATATTTCTTAAAAAAAAAAAAAAAAAAAAAAAGGAGGAAGGGATTTATGGGGCAGTATAGGCTAGCCCAGTGGTCAAAAACTCATTAGTCAACAGAGCCAAATATCAACAGTACAACAATTGAAATTTCTTTTGAGAGTCAAATTTTTAAACTTAAACTTCTTCTAGACTCGCCCAGGCTGTGGTATTTTGTGGAAGAGCCACACTCAAGGGACCAAAGAGCCGAATGTGGCTCGCCAGCTGCAGTTTGCTAACCACAGGGTTAGCCAAATCTTCATTTATCTAGCAGGAATTAATAACATCTGCAGTTGATGAGTCAAGGAGGAAGCATATTACTTAGAAATATGAGTAACCACCTGAAAGCTAAAAACTGAAGCAAAAGGGTGAGAGGCAACAGCTGCATTTCACTATAGCTATTAGATAGTTGATTTTTTGTTGTTGTTAATCCTCACCTGAGGATATTTCTCCATTGATTTTTAGAAAAAGTAGAAGGGGGAGGGAAAGACAGAAACACTGATGTGAGAGAGACACATCGATTGACTGCCTCCTGCACACACTCCGACCAGGACCAGGGAACCTGCAACCAAAGTACATGCCTTTGACCAGAATTGAATCCAGGACCCTTCAGTCCAAGGGCCTACCCTCTATCCACTGACCCAAACCAGATAGGGCACTATTTAATTTTTAAGCATGAATATATATTGCCTTGATTTAAAAACAAAAAAGTAATTTTCTACGTAGAACATACACTTCTAAGGAAATAAGAACATTTATTTTAACGGTACAAAATAATATAGTATTGACTAAATCCATAGAGGCTAAAATGGTCAAAATTCTGATATATTAATGTAGTATAACAGAGGATTCAATTACAGAGATTATTCTATTGGAAGTGAAAATGAAGACATCTAGTACTCAATAAATGGCATTTATTAAAAATCCAAGCTAAGGTGCCTCATTAGCACAGTCGGTAGCACATCTTTCTCATTAAAGTCCAAGCTAAGCACTATGCCATGGAAGAGGGTAGGATGGAAAACTGCATTGAGATCTCTCCACTTCCATTCCCAGCATGCTCCAATTAACTTATTATCCAAAGGGCACTGGTGTTATATCTTTAAAATGCAAATCTAAAGAGCTGGTAATTAAAAATGAGCAGGTAAAGTAGGGGCCCAATATTTTTGATTGGAAGACTAATAGTCACAAGAAGTTGCCTGCTTTAGGTAGGTAGCTAACAAGTTATTTTTAAGAATAATGAGTACATGAACAGAGAGGCTTAAAAATGCTATAAATTAAGAAGATACTTGAAACTGGTCATGGGACTTTATCTTTAAAGACATTTAAAAGAACATCTCAAAAGGGCCAGGAGCCTCTATTGATATAAAAATGCAAAAGAAAGGTGTAAATATAATGAAATAAATATATCAAGAAAAGATGCTGGATGGTAATTAGGCTTGCAGGAGGTAATAAGAATACCTTGGTATAGTGAAGTCAGAAATAGTTCTGAAAGAAGGTAGCTGAAATGAGATATTTCAAATATTTGCTATTTTAATTACAAGATTTAGTTAGTAAACTTGGGTCTAAAATTCCTAAGAAGAAACAGATACTGGTAAGTATGGAATTTCTTAAGGCAGCAAAATAATCCCTTAACACAGATTGTTGAAGAAAAAAAGGAAGAAGTACCCTTTAAATGTTGGCAATTGTTTCTGGTTTCTAGCATTAAGAGGGGAAAGATTTATACCTAGGCAAGATCAAAGTGGGAATTAAACTTCAGAATCCACCTACCTCCACTTCTATCTAAATTTCTCTCCCATTTCTTTATGATTAACAATCCTCAGATAGAAGTTCTAATTCCCCAAGGGAACTGAAATTTCTAAATCGCACCAGATTTATCAAATTAGTTGTTCCTATCTATAGGAAGTATAGATAGAATTATCCCTACACAAACAAAGAACCATGAATCCGTTTTATATAGGGTTTTGAACTCAGATCATTAGCACGGAAGAGACAGCTAGAAATAATTACCCATTAGCAGAGAACTTACCTTCCAGAAAAGCAAACTCATCCACAGCTTCTATTGCATTATCTGAAACACAAGGTAAAGGAACACTTGATTACCTCTGGTCATTTGGACATCAGCCCCCACGAAAAGCATAACCCATACACTGAAGGAGGCAAGAGGCTTTATGCAAACCAGGGTATTTATAAAATTTGTCCCTTGGATAACTTGAAATCCATTTCAACTCCACCACCAAATCTTACCTATCAGCTCTCTCTCTACAAGAGTAAGAAAGGCCTGGGAAAATACTGTTCAGGAAAGGAAACCTCTTTGCTCTGAGTGTCATCAGAGAAGAGTTTAGCAAGATGGCAGGGAAAGTGAAAATACGATATGTGAAAGCGTGGCATATGTATGATGGCTACCACTAGAAAGAAAACTCAGAAATCAAATCCCCAGTTTCTAAGGGGGGAAGAGGGGGGGAGAAATACCAAGCCTGGCACAACACAGCAGAAAGCATAAAGAGGTGTAGTCAGCTTTGGCAACAGCTAGACTCCTCTCATTCTCTGTACCAGCATCACACCAGCCACCCAAAGCATAGAGACTCTAAGCGTAGGGCTTTCTGGCACGATGGCAGCCCAACAGAAATCATAGACAGAGACCCTTTGGCGCCCCTCATTTTACAGTGGTGCCTTGGTAAGCCCTAAGAGGGAAAGCTTTGCCCAGCCTCCTCTGCAGCAGATACCACAGTGACACTCTACCCAAATCTCTCCTCTGGAGGGTTTTCCTCTTTCCTTGTTGAGCACAGCAGTAGGCATCTTTTGCAATGGTCTCCACAAACAGTTCCTGTGAAGCAAACGGGAGAGGTGTACAGTAAGCCCTCACTTAATATCCTGAGACTTCAGGCGAAATGCTATATAACCAAACCATTTCTACCTTAGACTAAGCAACAGTTCAGCTCCTATGGCAACTCATCCACATTACATGGAAAGGATGTCGAACCGATACGAAGCTATCTGAGGACCTGCTGTATTCGTGGGCACTGGCACAGTTTTTGAGAGCTTCTGTGAGTAGGGGGAGGGTAGAAAGGGGGGCTAGGATGCTTGGGGAGGTCCTCAGGGAAGCTCAAGGTTGCCCTGGACTTCATGAAGGTGTATCCCCTATCACTTTCCCCCTTAGCCCATGACATGTCTCTCCTCCGTTATTTGTAAATCCACCCCATTCATTCACTAGAGACTCCTACAAGGTCTGTGGTAGACACTGGAGATGCAAATTAAAGTGGCTGTCCCAGCCTTCAGGATGAGGCAGGTGTAACAAACGAATACCACGTACATGCCCCTTTTATCATCTTTCCTTCCAGCACTCTCATCTGCCCACGCGGCCCCAGCACCTCCCACTTCCGGCACTTCCGGACACCTCGTTCGACCCTCCAGCTCCACCTCCTCCATCCCAACGCCGGCCGTGCCGCCGCTGAGCCCCGCCCCACGCCGTCGCTAAGCCACGCCCCTAGCCACACCCCCACCCGCGTCCCAGGGTTCCTCGCGCTCCCGCCGCACCGCGGCTCGTGCCAGAATGAAGATGGCCTCCTGTCCCGCGAGCGTTACATCAGGGTCCGCCTTGACCAAGGCCTTCACTCGCGCCAGAGGCAGCCTCGAGAGACGAGCCCCGGACGCACTCGTCGGAGCTTGCGGCTGCGGGGCCGCTGCCTCCCCACCGGACCCCTCCTCTTCGCGGGGCGCCCCGCTTCCTGCAGCGGCCGCCGCCGCCATCCGGCCCGTAGCGTGCTGCGCGCGGCCCCCGCCTGTGCGCGCGCAGGCGGCGCCAGTCCCTTTCCCGTGCGCGCCAGAGGCCACGCCCTCTGTGGGCGCGTGGCCCCGCCCCTCGCGCCTCCCCGCGCAGCCGCGCGCTCTTGGGCAGCCGGCGGGGTGTGTGGTGCCCTAATGTAGGTCCTGCTGCTTCTCGCTGCCACTGGACTGGAGTGGCCTCCTCTTCGGTTCCGGGTGACCCTCCGGTGCCGTCCGGCCTCGTTGAGCCCGGGCACCGCCCCTTGGCTGGTGAATATTGTAGTTGGGGCCGGAACAAGGGCTCAGATCAGGAGAAACCCAGCCCCAGCCCGATGGAGTCTTGGTCAGGTCGATGCAGTTTGATACCGAAGGCTGCAAAGGGCAAGCTAGTTCCCCGAGGAACTCCCCTGAAGGCCCAGCCCGCCGCCGGGGAGCGAAATGTGGACCAGCTGCAGAGAGAATTAGATGCTCTTGCAGTAGGGGTAGGACTTGGACAGGCAGAAATGAAAGAAGTTCAGTCCTGACAAACCACAAGAAAAAAGTATACAGGCTGGAAAACGACGTGGCGATCACAAGGCATCCACGTTTATTCCGTCATGACTTGCAGCACAGCATTGCTTCTCAAACTTTGTTCACAGGATCCCTTTTTATTCTCAAAATGTATTGACATCCCAAAGAGCAATAGGTTATGTTGATATTGTGTTAGAAATTAAAACAAAGTTAAAATGTTAATATAAAATAGCTAATACATGTTAACATAAATAACATTTTTATAAGTAACTTTTAAAAAAAAATCTTTAAGATTTTATAGACAAATAGATTCTTCTGCTACTTCTGTATGTTAACATCACATTTCCATCTTCTTGAGGGAATGAGAATGAAAACAGCAAATAACCTCTTCATATCTGAAACTATGTTTTCTCTTTCCCAGTGCAGCTAGAGAGAAGCTGGGACTGGGTGGACTGCTGCCCTCTTCTTATGGAGAGACAGTGACCCAGAGCCAATGCAGCATGTTTATTTTATACCCCCAAATACCAGGAAGTTTCACCAAAAGGTCAAGACAAAGGAGATTATTTGCATTCTTGAGTAGGCCCTGAGCATTCCTGGTGCTAGTCTGGGTTTAGATATCAAAACCCACTTCCCCACACCAGGGGCTGAAATGAAGGTCCAGCTGACAACACCCTTGCCCTTTTGGCAAGATGTGTTCCCATGGTGTGACTTTGCCGATGCCACTGGGTTCAGCTGACAATAATTATGCCCATGTGCCTTCCTAGGGGGCCCTCTACACATATTATTAATGAAACTCAACCTTAACTGTTCCTTTTAGTATCTTTCTAGAGATACCATCAAGCTTCCTCCCACAGCCCTAGCAACAGCCAGGCCAAACTATATCAGACTAGTCTCCACAGCTAGAGTTTATGCAGATGGACTATCCTTCCCCAGCAGGTGAACTTTTAATGTTAAAGGGCCTCATACTCCACTGTCCAATCATGCTAACTAGCCATTTTCTACATGGCTAGGAAGAGGCATGAAGCCTGGCTGCCCTGCATAGGAAAACCAAAGACTCTGAAAGACACTACCCAATCATCTCCTCTAAACCGACCCCTTCCTCTCCACCATGAATGTCACTAATAGCTTGTTGGTGGGGAGACTGATTTGAGCTTTGCCTCTGGTCTCCTTGTATAGTTGCCTCAAAATGAATCCTCTGTACCGAAACCAGTTTGGCTCAGTGGATAGAGCATCGGTCTGAGGACTGAAAGGTCCCAGGTTCAATTTCGGTCAAGGGCATGTACATTGGTTGTGGGCACATCCCTGGTGGGGTGTGCAGGAGGCAGCTGGTTGATGTTTCTAGCTCTCTATCCCTCTCCTTCCTCTCTGTAAAAAAATCAATAAAGTATATATATTTTTTTTAAATGAATCCTCTTTACGGAAAAACCACTGCCTTTTCAGTTATGCAGTGCGCAACGAACCCCCTTACCAGGATTGGTTACATTAAGAAAATGGTTTTGTCCCAGGCCAGGTGGCTCAGTTGGTTGGAGCATCCTCCTGTACACCAAAGTGTTGTGGGTTTGATTCTTAGTCCGTGACATACTTAGGTTGCAGGATTAGGAGGCAACCAATGTTTCTCTTTGACATTGATGTTTCTCCCTCTCTTTCTCCCTTCCTCTCTCTCAAGTCCTCCAGTAAGTATTTAAAAAAAAGAAAATAGTTTTTACTTCATGGACCCCTAAAAATGATCCTCAGAACACACCCCCAGTGGTCCCACACCACACTTTGAAATGTGCTGGCATAAAAAATGAGTTGGTATTTACAATTACAGGTTTCTCCTAAGGCACTGTTTCCCAAACTTCTCTCATGATGAGAATCACCTGGTAGAGTTGTTAAATGCAGATTCCTGAATCCCAACTAAGAGCTTAGAGCACTAGTTAAGTATTCAATTTTACCTATATGTTCCCAAAAATTCTAGTTTAGCACTTCTTAGTTGGGATTCAGGAATCTGTATTTTAACAACTCCACCAGGTGATTCTCATCATAAGAGAAGTTTGGGAAACACTGTCCTGAGGCAATTCTGTTTTAATAGCTCTCATTTTTTTTAAGCACTTACTATGTACATGGTCCAAAGTGTTTTACATTTATGTGTGTGGTATTGACTTACATTATTTAATAACACCCTTTTTGAAGTAGGTAATATTTTAATCTTGTTTTACAGTTGAGAACATTGAGACACATGGTTAATTCACTGAGGAATAGCGTGAAGAAATAAAGTGGAGTCACTATAGTCAAGTTGTTAAATTTTGAAAAATCAAATGGGTGAGGAAACAATTACATTCTTGTTTTAACTAACCTGGGAACTTAAACTTTTGAACTTTGCGGTCCTGTATCAATGCCCAGATATACTTCAAACCTCCAGGTAACTTTCTGATTACCACCCTGAAGGACTAAGGAAAGAATATTCATGCATCCAGTCTTCCTAATATCCATTATCTAAACTGCCTGACATCTGTTACCCCTATCACTAGTCATCTTTTAGAAAATTACCATCTTGGACCATCCAGAGGCTAAGACTACAGGATGGAATCTTCTCAAGAATGGCCTTTTACTCTTAGCTTTTCTTTTTGCTTCAGAACACTCTGGATGGTGCCTAATTGTGTTTACGGTTTGCAAACCCGAAGGCCCTTGAATAAATCTTTATCATTTGTTTCTAGCCAAAGCCTCCTGATTTTATTAAGCTTGGTTGACGTCACCCACAGGGTAATGTGTTGCAGCCAAGATGAGGTTGAATTGGATAACGTTCGATATCACTCTCCATTCCAAATGATGCACACACTGCTGACTAGAGTGGCTGAGAGGCTCCACTGTGGCAGAGCAAGAGGTTTGGCCAAGATTACAATCCTCAGAAGCAGGGGTCGGAGTCACTGAAAATTTCACTTCAGCCTTCTTTAGGACCTCAGTTCTGAGTCCACCTTCAGATTTCACCTGTGGATACTCCTGTACCTAGAAAGCTCCACACAGTGTATATTAAAAGCATGGTCAGGTTCTTGTGTCACCTTGCAGTAGGACACTTCCTGGAGAGTATTTCAAAGTAAGTAAGTACTAATGGCAGTGTTATGCAAAGTGCTGAGGTCCCAGAAAACCTCAGTGTATAATTTGTGGGTTCCAAAGTAATAACCCGGAGGGCTGGCTGTGAGAGACATGGATTTATTAGGACTTACGTGTGCACTGGTGGCAGCCAGCCAGTGAAATTTACCACCGGGCCAGCTGCCACTGGTGAAGTCGTCCCACTAAGTCCCATCCGGCCTGTGGGCAGGACACACCAGGGGCTGCTGACCAGTGCTTCTGTTTTGCTGCCACACACGCAAGGTTTTATGGAGTGCAGAAAACAGAGAAAAACAGGGCATGCAGGAAGATGCAAATACTAGTTGTTTACAATCCAGGCTCACATCTAGAAGCAGTTTTTCTTTGACCTTTCTTCAACCAAGTTGCTGGTCAGGTTCCCAAGGTCTCATAGTTTGCTTACCGTACAGGTGGTCTTCGCTTTATTTCCCAGAGGGTGGGATGGGGAGTTGGAGCAAGGGAAGGGACAGTGTTTCTGTTTACCATACAGGAGACATAAATTCTGAGTTAAGTCAAACCGGTTTGGCTCAGTGGATAGAGCGTCGGCCTGTGGACTGAAAGGTCCCGGGTTCGATTCCGGTCAAGGGCATGTACCTTAATTGCAGGCACATCCGCAGTAGGGGGTGTGCAGGAGGCAGTTGGTTGATGTTTCTCTCTCATCAATGTTTCTAACTCTCTATCCCTCTCTCTTCCTCTCTGTAAAAATCAATAAAATATATATATATATATATATATATTTTTTTTTTTTAAATTCTGAGTTAACAGTACAGGTTGACGACTGTGTGGGCAGGATTCACTAAGACCGCCTGAAGGTTCTAAGTCAAACTGGCTTTTAAAGAGCTCTCCCGTTAACCTCCACTTCTTCCCAGTTTTCTCTTATTTATTTATATTTTCCCTACCTTTCTTCCCTTTCCCTCTCTTCCCCTCTTCCTTTTCCCCACAATTTTTTCCTCGTCACATGAATATTTTATCACTTGGCCTAGCCCCATACTTCTTTCCCCAGTTTTACTATGACTAACAGAGAGAGGTTTATATAGGCCACACAGGACTTCCTGACTATGAGCATTGAAAGGCACTAAATCGTGTTAAAGGGGGGAATTATCTTTTACTGTCTTTCAGTTTCAGTGGCAAAAGAACAGAGGAAGTAGAAAGATGAAAGTCAAAAAAGCCACACACAAAACAAGTTTGCATATCAATCTATATTGGCTGAAAGGCTAAAATTATCTTTTAAAGGCTTCAGGAAGAAAATGCAAAAAAAAAAAAAAAAGAAAAGAAAAGAAAAGAAACGTCATGTGAACATTTTATGTAATCAATGAATGGTTCAAGACAACTTATCATCTACTCTTCTGGGGTAAGAGTTCTATCCAGGA